TCCTCTTTTTCGCTGACCCTCTACTTTACCAAGCATGATGTCCTTCTCCAGGGACTGATCCCTCCTGATAACATGTCCAAAGTATGTGAGATGAAGTCTCGCCATCCTTGCTTCCAAGGAGCGTTCTCGCTATACTTCTTCCAAGACAGATTTGTTTGTTCTTTTGGAAGTCCATGTATATTCAACATTCTTTGCCAACACCATAATTCAAAGGTGTTAATTATTCTTCGGTCTTCCTTATTCATTGTCCAGCTTTCACATGTGTATGAGGCAACTGAAAACACCATGGCTTGGGTCAGGCGCACCTTAGTCTTCAAGGTGACATCTTTGCTTTTTAACACTTTAAAGAGCTCTTTTGCAGTAGATTTGCCCAGTGCAATGTGTCTTTTGATTTCCTGACTGCTGCTTCCATGGTTGTTGATTGCGGATGCAAGTAAAATGAAATACTTGACAACTTCAATCTTTTCTCCATTTATCATGATGTTGCTTATTGGTCCAGTTGTGAAGATTTTTATTTTCTTTATGTTGAGGTGTCAGCCATGCTGAAGGCTGTGGTCTTTGATCTTCATCAGTAAGTGCTTCAAGTCTTCTTCACTTTCAGCAAGCAAGATTGTGTCATCTGCATAACACAGGTTGTTAATGAGTCTTCCTCCAATCATGATGCCCTGTTCTTCTTCATATAGTCCAGCGTCTCAGATTATTTGCCCCACATACAGACTGAATAAGTATGGTGAAAGGATACGACCTTGATGCACAGCCTTCCTATTACCTGTTACTTCCTTAATAAACCATGTGACTGTGAGTACGGTTGGTGAATTCTGTGTGGCCACTGCAACAAATTATCAAACCAGCAAAGAAGTAGAGTACTGTCATGGTAACAGCCAGTGTGAGAAACAGTGAAAAAGTCAGAGAGTGGAGATATGTCTGACCTCCACCTCACAGAAACCAGCTTTATGCTGATCCTGATTTTCATGCCTCCTCCTGAATGCAAACAAGCCCTGTCATGGTTTGAATTATGTTCCCTCAAAAATGTGTGTCAATTTGGCTGGGCCATGGTTCCCAGAATTGTGTGGTTGGCCTCCATTTTGTGATTATGATTTTATGTTAAAGAGGATTAGGGTGGGATTGTAACACCACCCTCACCCAGGTCACATCTCTGATCCAATGTAAAGGGAGTTTCCCTAGGGTGTGGCCTGCACCACCTTTTACCTTACAAGAGATAAAAGGAAAGGGAAGCAAGCAGAGAATGGGGGAGCTCATACCATCAAGAAAGCAGTGTTGGGAGCAGAGTGCATCCTTTGGACCGGGATCCCTGTGCAGAGAAGCTCCTAGTCCAGGGGGACACTGAAGAGAAGAAGGCCGACAGAGAGAAAAAGCCTTCCCCTGGAGGTGACGCCCTGAATTTGGACTTTTAGCCTACTTTAACTGTGAGGAAATAAACTTCTCTTCATTAAAACCATCCACTTGTAGTATTTCTGTTGTAGCAGTACTAGATGACTAAGACAGGCCCTGATGCTAGATTACACACCTGGAACCAATTATCAGCCAGGCTCTTGTAATACTTTCTATTTCAAAATTCTGGGACTTGCTAACCATTCGACTCACTGGTTTGAAGAGGTACTTCTGTATTTAGCAGGATAATATTGTTACATACTAATCAGAATGTTCTCTTTTAAGAATTTTCTGTCACCTGGTAACCCCCTGAACAAATAATTTCTTGTATAAGGATCAACACAAAGCTGGTTCCTATGAGGTGGAGGTTAAAGATGTCCCAAATGTCCAACTCTTACAAGTGGCTGTACCACTCTATCATCTCTAACATCAACTACTCCCTTTCCTTTTAATACTCTCTGTCCCGTCTCTGGGTTCCCTCATTCGCTGCATTGTCTCACAGAACTCACAAACTGAACCATATAAAGGAAATGGCTCCCACAATTGTGGAGGCTGGCAAGTCCCAAATTCGTGGGTCAGGCACAGGTGTCTCCCAACCCACATGGCTGCAGGGGCTGACAAATCCAAACTGGCATTTCAGATCACAGGCTGCAGAAACTGGCAACTCAGGTCACATGATAGGCTGCCAGCCCAAGGGGCTGTGGAAGCTGGCGAATCCTAGAACTGGCAGGTCAGACAGCAGGCCTGTGGCTTGACTCCTAAGAACTGGAGGTAAACTGATCATGAAACAGACATGAGATTTAGGAGAATACGAATCCAAGAAGATCCAAGGTGTTTCAACATTCCCAGTCTATGCAGAGAGCATGAAGAAGGAGAAAAATACCACATACAGGAGTAAAGTAAGCGTGTCAGAATTGGTGGGCTCCTTGAGAAGAGGCTGTGTACTCTGCCCATAAACACAAGCTGAGAATATGTTGAAAAACTGGATCTGTCTACTGTCTTTACAGTACTGCTGGTTAACACTCTCAGAAGTCCCACTATACTCTCCTGTTATACACACTCTTGAAGTTTAGACAGGCAGAAATTATGAAATGTGTGAGGGGCCTGAAAACTCAAGATAGGTCTGGTGAAAGTCCTATGCAATTTCCTGGAGGCTTCTCTGCAAAGAAGAGATAGCAATGCTTTGCCATCTCCTGAGAGGGTCTCTAATGCACACAGAATCTGGACAGATGCTTCAGAATGAAGGAGGCCTCAGCTTATGACCTATACGAACTGAGAACTGAGAATCACATGAAACCAAGTACAGAAGGAGAAACCAAGGGGGAAAGAACACCCCTCTGAAACAGCCCTCCTTGTCCCTGTCAAAATCATGGCACCAAAGATGTCATAGTGACCAGATAATAGCATGTTGTAGGTTATAATAAAGACACTGCCTTTGTCTCTGCTTGAGCTGCAGCACCACTGGTGGATGAACTTTTACAAATGTGAAGAGAACGACATGTGGGGTGCAGGCAAGAGTAGGGAAGAAAAATTTTCTTTGAGAGCTCACAAGAAAAAAACTTGTGTTTTCCTATAGGGTCGCTATGAGTCAGAAATGACTCGATGGCAACAGGTTTGGTTTTGGTTTCCCATTGCAGAAGAGGTTCCTCAAAACATATTTGATGGTGTGGTTTCTTTTCTAACCATCTGACCTCTTACCTATTGTTATGGATTGAATTTTTCCCCAAAAGTTACCTGTTATAAATCCGTACCTTTATACTTGTGGATGTAATCCTACTGGGGAATAGAGACTTCTTTGTTATGTTAATGAGGTCATGTCAGTGTGTCTTAAGCCAATCCCTTCCTGAGATACAAATAAACATATCAGGCACAGAAGAAAGCTATAACAAACAGAGGGGAAGATACACACCACATGAAGATCACCAAGGATCTGAGGAACAGAAGCTGAAAAGAGACAATGACTTTCACCTAGAGCCGACAGAGACAGAAAGCCTTCCCCTAGAGCTGGAGCCCTGAATTTGAACTTCTAGCATCATTAACTGTGAGAAAATATACTTCTGCTTGTTAGAGCCACTCACTGGCAGTATTTCTATTTTATCACAGCGCTAAGAAACCAAGACACCTATGTTCACATCTTGATACATTTCCACATACCTGGGTTTTCTGCTAGTTTCGCTGTCTTCTCCACAGTCCAGGGCTCTGTCCCTTTCTTCAAAATGGAGACAATATTTATCTCAGAAGGAGAGATTCCTGCTTATCAGAAAAAAAAAAAAAATCTATAGCTTTTGCAGAATACAATCCAAGCCATTTGTTCAGCTTAGAATATCACAGTTGTCTCTAGAAAAGTATTTCAAACATTCATCCATTCGCCACCTCCTTTGGAATAATTAAGTAATGTATTAAATATGTAGATATCTAGCTCTCTTCCAAGAACAACTCAATTGGATACATTAAAAGCTAGCCATAAGGTTTTATGCATACTTAAGGCATGGAACACAGCAGGGACCTAGAGTGAACCGGGCAGATCATCTGAAGAAATGGGAAGGCTAAAGTTCTGATGCCATATTAAGAAACTTTATTTCTGAACAAACTTCTACCTCCACCATAAGAACAGAGATTTCTAAGTCCATCCAGCAGAGCAGGGGCTTCCAAGAGACTCACAGGGAAAATGCAGAGATACACAAGAGATCTCAACTTCTAGAGAGAGGTTATGCTCACCGAGGGAGAGCAGGTTCCTGTAGTTCTCCAACATCACATCCCTGTACAAAGTCCTTTGAGCAGGGTCCAAATAGTCCCACTCCTCCTGAGAGAATTCTATGGCCACATCCCTGAATGTCAACAGTACCTGTTAAAAAAACAAATAGTAACAACAACAACAAAAAACCACATCTTACAACTGGAAAAGGAAAAATTCTTATTTTTCTACCAAATGATAAAAGGAGAAAGGTATACAAGCAAGTTGGTTGATGTGAGAAGTTTGACAGATCCACATAATACTGAGCAAGTTACATGTCCCCAATTTTGTTTTATTATGCTTTTCTATCACAGGATATCAAATCTATTGCATCATACGGGATTTCATTTTGGTGGACCATAAAAAAAATAAGCAAATGAGAACAATTCCCACAGGGTCATCTACGTATAAGTGCTAGATGTTGTGTTCTGCAGCATCTTGCCAGAATCTATCAAAACACTAAAGCAGCATCATATATGCAGGAATCACTCTTCAAGTTTCCCAACCCAGAGGAACCCACAGATATCTGGAAAATAGTCAGGTAGTCAGAAGACCACTGTGACATTCTTTATAACAGTGAAAAACTGTAAACAACCCATTTATGTTCACTGTCTGGATGCTCTAATAACAACTCAAAAGAGCAAGCTATCTCTCTGTTTACTAACATGAAACAATTCCAAGACATATGATGTATAATTTTCAAAAGTCAAAGAAGAAAATATCACAACAACAGTCACTGGAGAAATTTAGGTTAAATCACATCATATGATAATGCCTTTTACCAAGACCAACACTGACTCTTGCCTCAGAACTGACAAGACGGGTTTCTGATGGAGGCTGTGAGTGATGGTGGAGGATGTAACAGGATAGAGAAGGTTTACATTTTACTCCCTATCAGCATCATTGTTTCTAGTTTTACCACAAAATAAATATATCCATCATGTATGTTTAAAATAAAAGAAATAAAGTACTTAATAACAAAGGTGGAATCAATATTTGCTTCCATTCCTAATGATTGATAAAGTTCTGTTCCTACATCTTGGCTGAATGAAACCATTTTTATCTAAAAGGCCTGTTGGAGGAGAGTCTCTGAACACCACAGTCTCCAAAGGATGGCTGTTGTAGGGTTTACTTTACCAAAAAAATTTGGTCTTTGTCTTTGATATCTGAGAGATAACCTCTCAAACCTTTGATTTCCCCCAATCTTGGGTGCCTTTGAGGGCTCTGAGGACATCTAACCTAGCAAGTTATGCTAATGAGGTGACACCTAGATAGGGGCTGAACAGGACAGAAAGACCCACCTCATGTTATCAACCTTCTGATATCAGTCCCATGGCATAAGCCTCATGTTATCGACCTGTGGTGTGATGGATCACTTTTATATGGACTTTCTCATCATGGTCTCATAACTCCCACCAAAAGACTGTGGACTATGTAAATGAGGGCTTGTGGCCCTACAAGGGGATTGGATAGTTTGCTAATAATGTAAATAAGGTGCATGGCACCTTGTCGGGGTGGGACCATGTAAATTATATGTATGGAACCCTAATGAGGGAAATGGTTAGTGTTGCCATTCTACTAGGCTTAAAATAAGCCATCCCAGAGGCGAGAAGGAAGGATCTCATTACCACCAAGAAAAAAGCGTGTCCTTTGGACCTGGAATCCCTGAGCTGAGAAGCTCTTGGAACCAGGAGATCGAGAGAGAGAATTCTAACACTGAAGATGGCGAGAAGCAGCAGAGAAACAGTGGCAGCAGAGTCAGAAGACTGGCAGGAGACGGCATGGTGGGCTTCCTGGCCCACATAGTGAGACAGCTGAGCACTTTCGAGCTAGAGGCTTACGGGCGGAGTGGGTTGCCTCCAGGCACTTATCAGCAGAGCTAAAAATACTTTGTAACACTTGCCCAAGCAGGGCAGAGGCTGGGCCAAGGGACCGAGGGGCCAGAGAGATTGGGCATGGCTGAGAAGAGGATGTCCTTATCTAAGAACTCTATCAAGAGTGTTCCTGAACGTGAACTGTAACCTGTTACTTCTCTATTAAACCCTATAATCATAAATATTATCTGTGAGTTCTGTGCGGCTTCTGCAACAAATTACTGAACTCAGCAGAGAAGTAGAGTGTCATGGGAGGGACAGTTAGTATCAGAATTGGTAAAAAGGTTGAAGGGTGGAGGCATGTCTAACCTCTGCCTCACAGTAATCAGCCTTGGGGAGTTGATCTTGATTCTCCTTCCTCCTTGTGAAGTCAAAGGTGGTCAGATGTCCCTACAATGCCATTGTTACATGATCCAACTCAGACGACAGGGGCTAGAACTTGAATTACATAATGAGACCCTAAATAAAAGCTCTGGACACTGATGTTCTATGTGCTCCTTGGTTAGTAAAAAACATCCATGCATGTGAGAGGGTAGCATGTCCTTTGGGATATGGAAATACCACATTGGGAACTCTTCCTGACCTCACTCTATAGGACTCTTTGTTTACATCCTTTTATAATTGTGAGGATAGTACTTTCTGTGAGATCTGTGAGCTGTTCTATCAAATTATCAAACCCAAGGTAGTGTTAGGAGCCAGTGAGGGAAGCTGGGACCCCCTGAGCTTAGGACTGATATCCTATTGATGAACACACTTGGATTCAGAGAAGTGAGAATTGGGACTTAATTTTCCATGCTTATGTGCTGTGAATGATTTAAAGAACCTCCTGCTAGCAGACATTTAGGTGAATTCCATATTTTAACAGTAATTATGGAATAAAGTATCCTCTACCACTGATGTCTGTTACCAAACTTCCCATTGTATATCAAATCATTAATATTCTGGAACCAGTAGCACAGATTCACTTGCTTAACTTCACATGTATTAAAAATCAGGCAAAGTAGGTTTCTCATTATAAGTCTTCTTTTCCAGAATTTTCAGCTGTTCCTGTGGAGTAATACAATACATAAATGTGCAGTTGCCTTAACTGTGGCCCACAGAGAGGTGACAGGGCATGCAGATGCAGCAACTAAGCACTCCCTGCTGAACACCCTCACTGGGCCCAACCTGTCTCCCATCAGGCCTTGTGTGAAGCCCTTCCTATGATGCTCCCTAAATGGAGCCTCTTTCCCAAGTCCCATGTCACTGGGTCACACCATGAGATAGAATCTGTGTGGAGGTGAAAAGGGACTGAGGAAAGCCCTGGGTGAATGCAAGCAAACATGTCAGGGTCAGAGGAGATGAGCAAATTCTCAAGACAGCATTTCAGGAAGGACAGGAAAGAACCATCCACCAAGAATAAGACTGTTACCTGGGAAAGAGTCATTTTGGACACCTCTTAATCTCTTATTCCTCCAAACTTGTTTCTCAGGTAAGATGAGTCTTGAGAAGTCAACCCTGAGTGTCAAAAATATGCTGTTAAATGCTTAGAATCAACACATCCCTTTCCTGTCCACAATCACACATGTAAGGAGGACCTCACCATGGGGGAAGACAGTCCCTGCTTTTTGCTGGACCACAAGGGATTCAGGGACAACAAACTCCTATATGGAGACCAACTGGTGAGTTTACTGCCCTCCTTGCCTGGTGTTGCCCACACACTCCGCTGCAGCAGGGGGATCTGAGTTGGACTGATCTTCCCATTTAGGTCACAGAACTGGCTCTGATACCAAACTCCAAGCAGAGAAGAGCTCCTGTCACTTCCCCTGGAATGATCACTGGTCTCAGACTCAGAAATAGATGACCTAGAGCCTTAGTACTCTAAGCTAGATGCAGATTAGAATTACCTGGGGCACTTGAAATCATTCTTGAGGCTGAGCCCCACCTAAACTATTTGAAGGAGAATCTCTGAGGAAGGGGCACAGCGATGTGTTTGCAAAATACCTCAGCAATCCAGTGTGGAGGCAGGGCTGAGCCAGCTCAGAGGAGGCAACACACTTCCCAGCCTGTGGCTCTGCTCTCTCCTGTGGCCATGCTGTCACATGTATCCAAGCAGAAGAAGAAGGAGCAGAGAGAAATGTGCAAAATAGGCATTATGGGCCAAGGATGAGGGTGAGGGTGTGGCAGCAATGTTAAATAGGAGGATCAGAGAAGATTGCCCAGAGAAGGTGAGACCAGATGAGGGAGGAATGGTGTTTGCCAGATGTATGTGAGGGACCAGGGAGCTCCAAGCAGAGGAACTAGCCATGTGAATACCCTGAAGAGTTAAAGAGATTCGGGTATTAGCAAGAGGCAAAGGCCCGTGTAGCTGGAGACAATGAACAAGAAGGCAAAAAGAAGACGAGGTCAGAGAGGTCTTGGGAAAGCAGATTAGGAAGGGCAGGGATCTTCAACTAATTTTCTCTCACACCCTAAAGGAATTTTGGAAACTGTATTCCTTCACCCATTTTAAGGTAACAGCTACTGTCTTGAAGGGGAAATAGGCTTTGTGAGGCCAAACATGAGCACCCTCATTTGTTCTGCTAGTTCTCTACTGTTTGCGAATTCATTCTTATGTAAGTCCCTGGCACGTAGCTACTATTATTCACCACCACTATAAAATCTTTGTCCTCCCACTGCATGGAGCAGAGATTTGCTTAGTCCTGCTTCCACCCAGGATCTGGCTCGTGTGTAAGTCTCCCTAATAAACTCCTTTGCTGCCACCACGGAACTGCCTAATTCTTCGGTCTCTCAGCGCTCTCCATTTTTGGAGGCAAGTTTCATGTTTCAAGTTCATGTTGGGACAACTGGTGAGCCAGCTAGGAGACCAAGGAAACAGCAAGTGGGAGTTAGGCCTCTGCAGTGAAAATCCCAGATTGGCCAGCCACCTCCATGTGGGGAGGTCTGGCTCATATGCTTGATGTGTGTGGACTGCCACATGAGTACAGAGATGCCCCAAAAACATCAAGTGGCATAGCACAGTTGTAGGGAAACACGTGACTTCTAAGTGTGGAAAAGAAGCTAAGAGGGCAGCTTTTGCATCCCAGTCACCTTTTACCAACACTACCCTGATCTTCAGAATTAGCCAGTGAAAACCTTATGAACAGCAGCAGAACACTGTCGATATGGTGCTGGAAGATGAGCCCCCCACGTTGGAAGGCACTCAAGATGACTGGGAAAGAGCTGCCTCCTCAAAATAGTCGACCTTAATGATGTGGATGGGGTCAAATTTTCGGGACCTTCATTTGCTGACACAGCACAACTCAAAATGAGAAGAAACAGTTGCAAACATCCATTAATAATCAGAATCTGGAATGTACGAAGTATGAATCTAGGAAAATTGGAAATCGTCAAAAATGAAATGGAACGCATAAACGTCGATATCCTAGGCATTAGTGAGCTGAAATGGACTGGTATTGGCAATTTTGAATCAGACAATCATATGGTCTACTATGCCGGGAATGATAACCTGAAGAGGAATGGCATTGCATTTATATTCAAAAAGAACATTTCAAGAACCATCCTGAAGTACAACGCTGCCAGTGATCAGGATAATATCCATGCACCTACAAGAAACACCAGCTAACACGACTATTACTCAAATTTATGCACCAACTACTAAGGCCAAAGATGAAGAAACTGAAGATTTTTACCAGCTTCTGCAGTCTGAAATTGATTGAACATGCAATCAAGATGCACTGATAATTACTGGTGATTGGAATGCGAAAGTTGGAAACAAAGAAGAAGGATCGGTAGTTGGAAAATATGGCCTTGAAGACAGAAACGATACTGGAGATTGCATGACAGAATTTTGCAAGACCGATAACTTTTTTATTGCAAATCCTTTTTTTCACCAACATAAACAGTGACTATACCCATGAACGTCTCCAGATGAAAAACACAGGAATCATATCGACTACATCTGTGGAAAGATGGAAAAGCTCAATATCATCAGTCAGAACAAGGCCAGGGGCCAACTGTGGAACACACCATTAATTGCTCATATGCAAGTTCAAGCTGAAACTGAAGAAAATTAGACCAAGTCCAAGACAGCCAAAGTATGACCTTGAGTATATCCCACCTGAATTTAGAGACCATCTCAAGAATAGATTTGATGCACTGAATACTAATGACCGAAGACCAGACGAGTTATGAAATGACATCAAGGACATCATGCATGAAGAAAGAGGTCATTAAAAAGACAGGAAAGAAAAGAAGACCAAAATGGATGTCAGAAGAGACTCTGAAATTTGTTCTTAAACATCGAGTAGCTAAAGCGAAAGGAAGAAATAATGAAGTAACAGAACTGAACAGAAGATTCCAAAGGGCGGCTGGAGAAGACAAAAGTATTATAATGACATGTGCAAAGAGCTGGAGATAGAAAACCAAAAGGGAAGAACAAGCTCAGCATTTCTCAAGCTGAAAGAACTGAAGAAAAAATTCAAGGCTTGAGTTGCAACAGTGAAGGACTCGAAGAGGAAAATATTAAACGACGCAGGGAGTATCAAAAGAAGATGGAAAGAATACAGAGTCATTATACCAAAAAGAACTAGTCGACGTTCAACCATTTCAAGAGGTAGCATATGATCAGGAACTGATGATACTGAAGGAAGAGATCCAAGCTGCACTGAAGGCACTGGTGAAAAACAAGTCTCCAGGAATTAACAGAATATCGAGATGTTTCAACAAATGGATGCAGTGCTGGAAGTGCTCACTCGTCTATGCCAAGAAATTTGGAAGCAGCCAACCAACTGGTAGAGATCCATATTTATGCCTATTCCCAAGAAAGGTGATTCAACAGAATGCGGAAATTATCAAACAAAATCATTAATATCACCTGCAAGTAAAATTTTGCTGAAGATCATTCAAAAGCAGCTGCAGCAGTACATCGACAGGGAACTGCTAGAAATTCAGGCCGGATTCAGAAGAGGAAGTGGAACCAGGGATATCACTGCTCATGTCAGATGGATCCTGGCTGAAAGCAGAGAATATCAGAAAGATTTTTACCTGTGTTTTATTGACTATGCAAAGGCATTCGACTGTGTGGATCATAACAAATTATGGATAACACTGCAGAGAATGGGGATTCTGGAACACTTAATTGTGCTCATGAGGAATCAGTACATGGATCAAGACACAGTCGTTTGAACAGAACAAGGGGATACTGCATGGTTTAAAATCAGGAAGGGTGTACGTCAGGGTTGTATCCTTTCAACATATCTATTAAATCTGTATGCTAAGCAAATAATCCAAGGAGCTGGACTATATGAAGAACGAACAGGGCATCAGGATTGTAAGAAGACTCATTAACAACCTGTGTTATGCAGATGACACAATCTTGCTTGCTGAAAGTGAAGAGGACTTGAAGCACTTACTAATGAAGATGAAAGACCACAGCCTTCAGTACGGATTACACCTCAACATAAAGAAAACAAAAATCCTCACAACCAGACCAATAAGCAGTATCATGATAAATGGTGAAAAGACTGAAGTTGTCAAGGGTTCATTTTACTTGCATACACAATCAACACCCCTGGAAGCAGCAGTCAAGAAATCAAAAGACGCATTGCACTGGGCAAATCTGCTGCAAACGACCTCTTTAAAGTGTTGAAAAGCAAAGATGTCACCTTGAAGACTAAGGTGTGCCTAACTCAAGCCATGGTATTTTCAACTGCCTCATATACGTGTGAAAGCTAGACAATGAATAAGGAAGACTGAAGAAGAATTGATGCCTTCGAACGGTGGTGTTGGCGAAGAATATTGAATATACCATGGACTGCAAAAAGAACGAACAAGTCTGTCCTGGAAGAAGTACAACCAGAATGCTCCTTAGAAGCAAGGATGGTGAGACTATGCCTTACATACTTTGGACATGTTATCAGGAGGGAGCAGTCCCTGGAGAAGGACATCATGCTTGGTAAAGTATAGGGTCAGCGAAAAAGAGGAAGACCATCAATGAGATGGACTGACACAGTGGCTGCAACAATGGGCTCAAGTGTAACGACTGTGAGGATGGTGCAGGACTGGGCGGTGTTCTGTTCTGCTGTACAGAACCAACTCAACGGCACCTAACAACAACACTATTGTCCATTAGTTTCATTATACTGATGACATCATGTTAACTGCTAAAGATGTTTCTCTGTTACAGGAGTGTCTAGACACCCTAATCATCCACCTGCAGGGGAGAATACTGGCCGTGATCCCCGAAAAGGTGTGGGGGCTGGGAACATCAGTAAAATTTCTTGGGGTTGTCTGGTTGGATAAGACCCGTGTGCTGCCTGAAGCCATAGTTGAGGAGATACAAGCTTACCTCGCCCCTAAAAAACCAAAACCAAACTTGTTGTCGTCAAGTCGATTCCGACTCATAGCTACCCTGCAGGACACAGTAGAACTGCCTCATACGGTTTCCAAAGAGTGGATGGTGGATTCGAACTGCCGACCTTTTGATTGGCAGCCATATCTCGCTATAGATCTTAACC